CTTCTTTTTTTTCTTCTTCTTCTTCTTCTTCTTCTTCTTCTTCTTCTTCTTCTTCTTTGTCTTCAACTTCTTCTTCTCGCGCCTACCTCCTACCTTCTCCCCCTCCCTCCGTCGCCATAGCTTTCCTCCTCCCTCCTCCCTCCTCCCTCCTCCCTCCTCCCCCCTCCCTCCTTTCTCCTAGCGCTGTTGCCGCCATAGCTTTTCCCCTCCCTCCGCCGCTGCCACAACTTTCCTCCTCCCTCCTCCCTCCTTTCATACGGCACTGTGTCAGGCTGTTAGCCTGACTTAAAGTGACTTGCGATTTTTTTTATTTCTTCTTCTATTTCTTTTTCGTTTCTTTTTATTTTTCGTTTTTTCTTCTTCTTCTTCTTCTTCTTTTTCTTTTTTTTTCCCTTCTTCTTTTTCTTCAACTGCTTCTTTTCGTTTCTTCTTCTTCTTCTTTTTTTTTTCCTTCTTCTTCTTCTTCTTCTTCTTCTTCTTCTTCTTCTTCTTCTTCTTCTTCTTCTTCTTCCTCCTCCTCCTCCTCCTCCTCCTCCTCCTCCTCCTACCACCTCTCGGTCTCCATAGACTCCCTGCCTCATTACCATAGCCTCTGTTCACATCAAGCTCTTCTTCTTCTTCTTCTTCTTCTTCTTCTTCTTCTTCTTCTTCTTCTTCTTCTTCTTCTTCTTCTTCTTCTTCTTCTCCTCGTTCGTAAACCTTGTGCAAGATGGCATCTTCAAGCGGGGCAGGCACTTCGAGGGGGAAGGAGGTGGCAGGTTCGGATGATGAAGCCACGCGCGTGAAGGAACCATTTCAGCCACAGCCTGAGGCAAGGCAGTTGCAGCTGCAGGCAACGAAGGTGGCATTCAGGTGGGTGACGCAGGGGCAAATGATCCCGTCACTGGCGAAGGGGCAGTACAAAGTGAAGTGCAATCTGTGCGGCGCAGATTGGGTCGCGTCGTACATGCGTGTGTGGCCCCATTTCACTCAGAAAACTAATCCACGCCCCTCGCATTATCCGGAGTTGCTTCACATCCTTGCTGCGAAGGGGCATGCGATTGAGTGCAAGAAGAAGTTGCGGTTCATCCAATTGTATCGGATGGAGCAAAACAGCCCCCTGGACGGTTTGGTTCCCGCAATTCCGGAGGTGGAGGCACAAGGGAACATAGTGGATGCGTTCATAATGTCACCGACAGCACGGCATAGCAGAACGGTATCGACTGTGGAAGTTGATGAAGAGGCAAGAGAGGGGGTTGTGGAAGAAGGTGGTGGAATGCTGAGGACGTATGCGCAAGGATCCGTTGCGGGCAAGAAATGCGGGAACTTGACACAAACATCGATCAAAAAGTGGGCAACCAACGGTTCACAACAAAGACTGGATGTGGCATGGGGGATGCACCTTCAAGCAGGAGCTGCACGCCTTGTACCTCGAGTTGGGGGAGAAAAGACAGCAGGTGAAGATGCCTTCCTTGGAGGTCATCTGAACTGTTGTGTTGGACATCATCTACAATAAGGTGCAGGAAGACATGCATCTGCTGAAAGCGAAGTGGGACAACACAGGTTGCACCCTCCTCACTGATGGGTGCATAGATCGAAGGTACAAACCTGTGATGAACTTCATCGGGGCCCGCGAGAGTGGTGCGATCCTCTTGAAGGTCGTGGATGTGTCCAACAAGAAGAAGACTGCAGTTGCTTTTGGCAATGATGTGGGAGCAGATGATCAGGGACATTAGGGTGCATCGGGTTAATGCAATCTGCACAGACAATGCGGAAGTCAACAAGCAAGCTGCACGGATCCTGCGAAGGCGTACAGATCGTGACATATCAAGCATTCCATGGGTCCCGTGCGCAACTTACTGCTTGAACTTGTTGATGAAGGATATCTGCGAGCTCGACTGGGTGAAGGAAGTGGTGCACCGTGATTTTGTCCATGGAGGTCCGGTTTGCTTCCGCATACATGATGATGAACCGGATTTAGGGAAGGAGGTGTGTGCTTGAGGGGATGATGGACGAGGGGTGGAGGCAGTTAAGATGGAGCACAAGGAAAGATTGAGACAAGACCTGACGTACCAGACTGTTACTGCGCCCGAATGGTGGGAGAGGCTGCGCACGATTTTGGATGTGTTGGAGCCGATATACGAGTTATTAAGGAAGATGAGCCGCAACGGCACAGCCCCCCCAAGCCTTTCACACTTCGATGAAGGGTTGGGCAAGGGTCTGAAGACACTTACGTAGTTGACCGATGACCAGCGGCGGGCAATCATGAAGGCCGTTAACCAGCGGCGGGCAATCATGAAGGCAGTTAACCAGCTCACGAAGATGATGAGGCAGCCTGTTCATGCAACGAACTTTCTTTTTGACCCAAGGAGGAGAGACAACAAGTGGTTGATGGACATGCACTCCCCGCTGGTCCAAAACACCCTCAAGTTTTTCTTATCACAGTGCAAAGAGAACGTCGCTTGGGGATGCAACGAGCAGCTAGATCTGTGGGCGGACTTGCAAGCTTTCCACAAGGAGCCAACTAAACATATGTCGGTAAATGATCCAGTGACAGGGAAAGTGGTGGAGGAGAGCTTGTGGACCGACTTCGCGAAGTTCGACAGCACCCTTGCTCAAATGTCAGCCTCTGAATTGTGGAACCGCCATGGGGCCTCTCATAAGAAGTTGCAAGACATTGCCATGAGAGTGACAACGATGTGGAGCACTGCGACCCCTTGTGAGAGGAACTGGTCCTCTCTCGATCTTGTCCACGACAAGAGGAGGGGGCCGCTGTCGCCTGACAGCCTCGCCAAGTTAGTGTACATCCACTTGAATCTTCAGCTTTTGGACATCAAGAAGAAGAAAAGTATAGGAAGCTTGGCAGGGTACTTGGACATGTGGGCTGCATTCTTCAACGATGTGGAGGCACCAACGTCAAATGATCCTGCGGTGTTCCAAGGGCTGCAACTCTAGCAGACTTGAGTAATGACGAAGTGGCCTGCCGGGCAAATCTAACGAAGACCCCCGGAACTAGAATCTTGAAGCCTCATGTCGTTGATGGATCAAGCTCATCGGATAGCAGTGATGATGGGGAGGACCTCATTTGGAGAGGCAAAGGCAAGAACAAAAAGGTTGTTGAAGTTGTTGATGGTGGCAAAGGCAAGACGCAAATGGATGTGGATGCGAGGAAGAGGATATTGAGGAGAGTGAGGAAGATGACGAGAACTTTACGTTGTGGTCGCCAAGGGCAAATGACATATCCAACGACGACAATGAATTGGATGACGACCTCACACGTAACGTGGAGCGGGGTTACCTTGATAGTGACCTGGAGTTCTTGCGGCCTCGGGGGATGGACTTCAACGCATGCGTCGAAGTGGACAAGGACTTCGATGATGATGCTGACAGGGCGAGGGCGCAGTCCCTTGCTCATCGTGATCGCGCCCTCGTGGAGCAATGGATTCAAGAGGAAACAACAAAATGAAGTGTTGTCCCTCCTCCGAGGAGGATGAACTATACAACGGCGGGAATGGGCAGATGTCTACCGGCGGAGGGGGTTCAGCAGCAATGACATATGGAAGGCATGCTATGGGAACAACAAGAGGAAGACGTTCAGCAGCAGCGGCAGCGAGAGGAAGGACTGCAGGAGCAACAACAAGAGGAAGGCCTGCAACAGCAGATTCAAGGGCGAGTGGATGTGCTTCAGCAACAAAACCACCAGCCACAACACGATGGACTATAGCGGCAGCAAGTGCAGCAGCAGGATGATCGACAACAACAACAACAACAAGAACAACGGGGCGGACCAGAGCAGCAACAACAGCAACAAGATGAACTGCATCCGCAACAGCAGCAGCATAAGGATGGACAGCAGCAGCAGCAACAGACAAAGCAGGATGGACCACAACGGCATGAGCAGCACAAGGATGGAGCACAGCAGCAGACAAAGCAAGATGGAGCGCAGCAGCATCAGCAGCACAAGGATGGAGCGCAACAGCAGAAGCAAACAGAGAAGGATGAAACGCAGCAGCATCAGCAGCAAGAGCACGATAGTCCGCAAAAGCAACTAGAGCACGATCTGCTGCAGTAGACAAAAGAAAACGGGAGTGCAACGGGAGTCGCTCGAGTGTACTCCAGGCGGCCTCCAGTGCTCGGTGCAGCAGCCGTCCGAGGTGTGGTTCAAACCCTTCCTTTCCTTGCGCAGGTCGAGGGCGTGCAACACGATAACTTGGACGTGAGCCTGGCAGGAAGGAAGAACAAGGTGCAGCCTGACACCGGTCCAAAAGTGGCAAGGAAAAGGGGGCGCCCGCGAAAGTACCCACTTCAGCCAGTTGTATCAGCATGCGCTCCGGTCGGCGACGATGGTGGTGACGAGGGTGAGGTGGAAGAGCATGTGACTCGGGGGAGGAAGGTGCAAGGGGGCCCTGCACTCACAATGGACGGTGCGGAGACACGCCTGTTGAAGTGGCTGAAGAGGAAGGCGGCAAGGAAGGTGAGAGCCGTGGAAGATGATCCGACGGATACGGAAGAAAGCAACAATGAGAGTGATAAAGACGGTCGGGAAAGCGACTGGGAAAAGGGTTCGGCGGGGGAGGATCGTACACTTGCACTGGTCTAAGGGCTGATGATGTTCAATGGTCATAGTCGAAGTGGTGTTTTTTTTGCACAGTTAATCCCTTGGGTTTTCCAAGGCAATCAATGTTGTGTCTCTTCCTTCTTCTTCTTCTTCTTTTTTTTCTTCTTCTTCTTCTTCTTCTTCTTCTTCTAGTGTTATGACTGTCAATCTGTTACCATATTATGTCAATGGAGGCGCACTTTCGATTACAATTCATAAGACCTCTAAGTCCGTGCAACAGATTCTGTGAAACTGTCGGTTGCACTTTGCCACTTACGTTGTTTACAGGTTGCGGTTCCTTAGAACATGACTTCGAGTCTGAATTTGGTGCTTCTGTTTTGTTTGTGCCTAAAAAGGGAGGCAAATTCCGCATGTGTTTTAATTACCGCGGTCTAAACCGCATCACAAGAAAGAACGCCGTTTGCTTGCATGGCTCCTTTGAATCACGGAAGCAGCGGACTGAGTCTAAGTGTGGACTGGAACCGGGTCTGAATGTTGAGTCCACACTCATACCGAGTCAGCATTCGGAAATCAGGGGATTTTTGTTTGCTGCTTGTGAGTGCTACAACCTGCTTTGCTTTTGCGAGTCCACTGGGGATGCAGAAGTTGTTGTATCAGCCTGTCTTTCAGCAGCTGGTGCATGCTACCAGCAGCAGCTGCTCAAGTACAGGCGGGACACAGCAGCTACTGCATCCCCGGTCCTGCAAAACAGACAACCCATGATCCACCCCGCTCCTGCACCCCCTCCCCTCAGCCTCCTTTCTCTACCGCTGCCCCCAAAACACACAAAAATCCACATCAATAAAAATAAGAAACGAGGCCGGGTATAGGCAGTACTCGGAATGCACAGAAAAGCACCAAAAACCAAAAAAAAAAAAAAAAAAAAAAAAAAAGTATTTTTTGCATGCCCGGGGTACCCCGGGCGTGGTTCCCCCCCCCGACAAGGCGCCCAAGACGCCCGACCAGGCACCCCGGGAAAGCTAGACAGGTAGCAGTTTCTGAGATACATTTTTTCTTTAAGGAAAACTCTATAGACTTGACCCAAACAAAGTCTCCTTCTTGGAACTGTGAAGGACGACGATGTTTATTAGTTTGTTCTATCATTTGCAACTGGGATTTCTGTATGTTTTCCTTCACTTTCTTAATGTCAACTTTGTACAAAACTGCGAATTCGCGCGTACCTGGGGGTAACCTCTGAATCTGGTCCCTGGTTAGTGCATCAATGAGACGCCTAGGCTTTCATCCTTTATGCAGTGCGCTAGGCGTTCTACCTGCTACAGTATATATACTTTTATTCTACACACTAGCAATTTTAGACAAGTTCTCATCCCAATCAATCTAGTCAGAATGGACATACATTCGCAAAAGTTATTGGCAGAGACGATTCATTTGCTCAGTTTGGTCATTCCTTTTAGGATGTCCGCCTAACGACATGGTCAACCTGGTCCGATAGACTCCCATTAACTTCTGCCATTGTAGACTGGTGAATCAAACATCTCTATTAGATACGATTGTTTTAGGAAATCCATACTCAGAGACCCATCACATTTGAAACTTTTGAATGACTAGTTCAGTTATAACTTCAGCAGGTAAAGGAATGAACATAGCATACTTAGAGAATCTATAGACGATGACCATTACCTAATTGTTGATATTTCAACTCTTAGTGAGGCTCATAAAGTCAATAGAGATAGACTCACTCGACTCACTTGGAATAGGCAGTGGTCTCAGTAGTCCCATTGGATTCTCATGTGAGGGTTTGTTCCTCTGACAAACAAGACAAGTCCGCACATAGGTTAGTACATCTTCTTTCATTCTTTTCCATTCAAATCGTTATCGCACACCGGCATACGTCTTCTTAAAATCAAAGTGACATTCCGCATTATGGCATTCCCCAATGATTAAACTCTTGATTGATTCTAAGTGAGGAACACACAATCTTTCTTCGATTTTATTCAACAAAAAGAGTAAGTCATATGCCATTCGATATTCTGGAAACAACTCAGGGATCTTTCGTAGAGTCTCAATGATAGGACTCCAAACAGGATCATTCTCATAACCCTGGCGGATCTATTTTTCCAGTTCATTTCCGATATCGACATAAGAAACAATAGTTCCAAAGAAATCTGCACGTTTGGACAAAGCATCCACAACCACATTAGACTTACCTTTGATGGTTTTCACCTCAAAGTCAAAGGTGTGAAGGAATGTGGACCACCTTATCAACTTGTCGGAGAGCTTAGGCTGAGTCTTTATCCACTTCAACGTAGTGTGGTCAAAATAGACAGTGAAATGTTTCCCCAACAGGTAGTGCTTTCAGATATCTAGTGCAGTTACTAAGGCATACAGTTCTCTTTTATATGTGGAATTTGCAACTTTTTCTTACGGAAGTCTTCTGGACATAAACTCAATAGGTCTATAGTCTTTACCGTCATCTTGTTGTAGCACAACCCCAATCCCGTACTAACTTGCGTTAGTTGTGACTATGAAAGCAAGAGAAGGGTCAGCAATCTTTAGGACAGGGTAGTGAGTCAGAGTATGTTTTCACTTTCTGAACAACGACACACAATTTTTGTCCCACAACCAAAAATTTTCTTTTTTAAGTAATCTTCTCATAGGAGCAGCAATCAAGGAAAAATTTATAACGAATTTCCGGTAGTAGCTAGCAAGTCCTAGGAAAAATCTTTGTTCAATTATAGTTTTGGGTTATGGTCAATCTCTGATTGTTGTAATCTTCTTTTTTTCATACCTTAGTCCTTCCTCGTTTACTATATGCCCTAAGTACACGACTTCAGGCTTAGCAAACTCTAACTTCTTTAGAGTCACTTTGAAAATGTCCTCGCGCAACTTCTGCAAGACCATTTGTAAATGTTTTTCGTGATCTTCTAGTGTCTTACTATACACTAGAATGTCATCGAGGTAGACTACTATGAACTAATCAAGCCATTGATGAAACAACTCATTCATTGACCTTTGGAATGTTGCAAGCGCATTGGTCAACCTGAAAGGCATAACCACGAACTCATAGTGACCATACCTATTTCGGAATGCCGTCTTGTATTGATCCTCGGGAGCTACCTCGATCTGGTGGTACCCTGACTTGAGGTCAATCTTACTAAAATACCTACATCCCTGCAACTAATCCAGTAAATCATCAATGCACGAAAGAGGCTCTGCGTTTTTGACAGTGATGGAGTTCAACCCACGATAATCTATACAAAGACACAATTCACCTTCCTTTTTGGGCACAAATAAGACAGGCGCACCATAAGGAGATGAGTTAGGGCGAATCCATCCTTTGTCAGTAAGTTATTGGAGCTGCTTTCGCAGTTTCTCAAGTTCCCTAAGAGACATTCGGTAGATGGAACCCTTGGGAATCTTGCTTCCGGGAATGACCTCAATGGTGTGTTTGATAGCACGCTCAGTAATTCCCGTCGGTTCAAACTGCAAGTCCTTGTACTCACCAAGAAGTATTTCAATAGAAGGTGGATAAGCTGAGGAACACTCACCTACTCGCTTGACAAGTACCATCATCATCTCCTGATCCAAACTTCTGGGTTGGCTTCCTCATGCCAATCCATATCCAGAATTATGTCAAAGGGTAAATTCTTCTCAATTAGGAAGGATATCTCTTGCAGAATTTTTTTACCTTCCTTTGTTCTGAAATAACATTTAACATGATCGACGTATTGAGAGACAGTGATCGTGCTCTTGTCAGCCAGTATAGATGTAATAGGTCTACGTAAATCCTTTACTTTCATTTCCAGATGCAACTTACAAATTACTTTCTCTGATATATAAGACCTCGTCGATCCCGGATCTAACAGGGCAACTACTCGCGTGTGCACAATCTCAATATCCGCGATTATCAACTCACCCTTAGACTTTGCTTTCTTCGTCCACGAACTCCGTAGTGCTATCGGTTCATTGCCGATCTCGTCAAGGGAATCGTCCAGTGGGACAGACCAAAGTACTGTGTCAGGGTGGTCTGGACGACGGGCGGAAGAAGAGTCATCCTTTGCCTTGAGAATCGAAGGGGTAGAAGGGATTGTAGGCACCTTACCTTTATCTTAGTTTAAACCCTTCGACTCAGTAAGAGCAAATGTTACTCCTAATGGCTGCTCGCTTTTGGGTTTCGAATAAGTGGGCACCAAGCTATCACGTGCCTTACGGTGCCACACTTGAGGCACTGGCGGTTGTCCCATTTTGGACTGCCACTCCTCCTGAGTCATGTTCATCTTTTTCCAAGGTCTCCCGAACGCAATGCCGGAATGCTCGGGAAACGAGCGTGCCCTCTTCTTCTTCTTCCACTGACTTTGGCCTCCCTTGTTGGCCATTACGGCAACAACGTCACCCTTCCCGGACTCGCTACCACCATTACCTCCTTCTCCCTCAGACTCGTCAAGGGGTAACTTTTCTACTATTTCATCGTCAAATAGCACAAACATATGGTCCTGATGCTTTTGCCGCCAAAGGACCCGCTTGCCATACCCACCAACCGGTGCTTATTTGACTACCGAAGTGTACGTACCTTTGACTTGCGTGGTCATCTGCTCTCTTTGCAGAGCGAGATCGCAGAACTGCCGGTAATTGTACTTACCAGACTTTGACTCTGGCACGAGTTGTCCACGAATGGGCTCCGGCTCGTGAGTAAATGTACAGGACCTGGTTATCCTGCAAATTCAACCCAGGTACCTACAAAAGACGGTCAACTTCACGAGACAACGCATCCACTGAAGTCAAACGTTTCGGACCGATGGTGGTGAGTTCGTCGAAGGTCTTATCGGTCGTCGTTTTGTCGACAAATCTCTCCTTTATCTTTTGGAAAAACTGTCTCAACGTCAAGGTCTTTACCCACTCACCGATATCCTCAAAGTCAGCGGCGTTGGCTTCGACCAACACCCATTCCTTGGCCACTCCTCCCAAACAAGACGTGGAGAAAGCAACGTGACTTTCAGGCTCCACGGGTGTTGTCCCTACGTAAGTTTGTATATCCATAACAACAAGTTTTTTTCTTTCTTGTTGCTATACGTAAATGGCAGTTTCATTTTGACTTTTTCTTTGTTCTTCGGTTTTTCTGTT